GGGAATGTCCACATGTTACCCTTCACCTGGCACTGTCAAAATATCTGATGGGGAGTTATTAACTCTTGTGTCTAACTATAGCAGCGCACGCAGACATACTGGAGTCATGGGGCTATTTTATCTCTTGGTTGCAGATTCATCGACATAACCATACACTGCCTTGCACTCTTCGACTTATGTAAGATTCCTTTTCCTCACGTCACGATTATGATTGGTATATATGTTCGACTCAACATAATTAAACAAGAAAAAAAATTAAAATCTTTCTATAAAAAATTAAAAATTAAAATCTTACTTGTTTTAAGAAAATGCAAACTTTTATTTTCGAACATATTTGAATACTTATTTCAAAAGTAATTTTTATCATACACTCAAAACAAGTAGCTTAATTGAGCAAAAGTCATTAATTTATGCTAAAACTTGCTTATTTTTTTCAAAAAATTAACAAATTATTTTTTGAGCAAATTCTTGTTTCTAAAAATGTTCGGAAATTTTACCATTAAATAACAAGAAGTTACAAGTGTAATTATTCTTGTATTGATTAGTGCATGTTTGGCTAAGCTTACAATAACTTATGAGTAAGTAAGCCTCCATATGGATAACAATTTGTTAATCATCTGTAATTCAATCAAAATCAAATATTAATTTTAACTACGGGTTTATAATTAGTACTCATTATTATCTACATATTTCGTGGGATTTATTACTATTTCTCTTTACAAATAAATCATTTATAAAGTTATCAAATGGAGACTAAGTAAAGTTTTCAAATATAAATCTTTTTTAGTCAACTTTGAAAAAAAAATAGTAAGAAGGAGAAGTTGCTGAAGCACGAGTTATTTTCAAATTAAATAACCTTTAATTTGGAACTAAGAAAATGGTAGTACGATAAGATATGTTCTAAATTAATATTTTCAACTTTCACCAGTAAATAAGAAGAATGGTTCGATTACAACTTAATTATATGATCAGGATATCATTTGATTAATTAATGTTTTATACTTACAAGATTTTCTTCAACAATCTATAAAAAATTTCGTGTTAGGGAATAAATTCAGATTTATCGGCCCACTTGGTTTTCCTATTTTTGGTGCTTGTTTCATGTAGGTGCACGAGGAGGCGAAGACGTTCATTCCTGGTTCGGGTGTTATCGTGTTTGTGTTAGAATTTGGGTATGACCTGAATTCTTTGTTGAAATAATTGTGGAGTTCTAATTAAAATGTATATCAAGAGGAATTCTAATTGAAATATTGTTGTGGAATCCTATTCAAGTTTAATTGTCAAATTCTAGTTAAACTTCTTTTTGGAAGCTCTATGGAGAGTTGGAATTTGTATTGGACTTGAAGAGACCAAAATAAGAAAACTTTTGACATTTTATTTCATGTATAACTCTACTTGTAGGGATTCGATTGTTCCCTATAAATACTGGACTCTTTTTCTAGATTTGAGAAGCCATAAAGCATTATTGTTAAGTTTTTGTATTCTCTCCTTATTGTTATAATAAAACATCGATTCCTCTGTCAATTCCTTTTCTTCTTCGTCTTTACTTTAAATCTTGTTTATATTGTTTTGATCTTATACTTTATATTGTGCCACTAATCTCAAGGTGGTTCTCCCGTCAACAAGTGGTTTATTGTCGTTCCGCCTTTAACAAGTGGTATCAGAGTGCATGTTGTGTGGATTTTTTAAATTTTTGTTAGAGATAGCAACCCTGAAGTATGACATTCTGCTGTTGGATCGAAATACAAAGTTTTCTTTGTGACAAGTAAAGATGAGAGCTTTTTTACCACAGATAGATTTGGACGATGCTTGGTTGGGTTTTGATAAGATGCTAACAGCTTGGACAGGAGGAGAAGCAACGGAAGGATAGGAAGACTCTTTCGCAGAAACATCTTCACCTCTCCCACAACATTCTTCAAGACGTATCGAAGGAGAAAACAGTTGCTGCTTTATGGTTGAAACTAGAGCAATTGTACATGAACAAAAGTCTGACGAGTAAACTGTATTTAAAGCAAAGACTGTATTCCTATCGCATGGTAGAAGGAGGATCCTTAGAAGACTACCTACTGTGTTAAGGAAATCGTCGCTGATCTAGAAATGTTGAAGACTAAGTATGATGAAGAGGATCTAGTCTTGATACTGTTATGCTTGCTGCTCGCTTTATATTTGTCGTTTAGGGACACGATTCTATATAGTCATGACACACTTACCATTGACTATGTTTATGATGCTTTATTCTTAAAGGAAAAGATGAAGTATCTGGTTGGAGCTACATTTATAGATAAGGAAACTCTGGTGTCTTATAATGATCAATAAAGGGGTAAATCGATGGTGAACTTCAACAATTAGTTTTGCTTCTACTGCAGAAAGAAATGACATATCAAGAAAGATTGCGATAAATTGCAGGCTAAAGGTAATTTAGCTGAAAATCGTGAGAGGCAATCAAATAATTCGAATGAGACTAATATTTTCGAGGACTTTTCAAATGGCAAAGATGTAATGTTGATCGTATCTAACATAGAATCTAAGTCGGATGAGTAGTGGATTCTGAATTTAGCGTGTTCGTTTCATGTATGTCCCAATAGGGCCTAGTTTGAAATGTATGAGGCGGTGAAGTAAGGTTGAGTTGTCATTAGAAACAACCAGTCTTGTAGGGTAGCTATAATCAGTAGGGTCGAATTGCGGTTGCAGGATGGGATTATGAGAACACTTGGCCAGGTTCGATATGTTCTAGATTTAAAGAAGAATCTCATCTTCTTAAGTACCTTGAAATCAAAAGGGGTACAAGTTCTTTGGTGGAGGTGGAGTCTTGAAGGTCCAAAGGGGTGTTCGGGTTGTACTGGAGGGACTGAAGAAGTCTCAATCTTGCAGGGGCGCACAGAATCAGTTAAGAGACATCTAAACATGTTTGATACCGTGGTGGACATATAGTTTGGTACAATACCTTTTGGGTTTAGCTCTGAGTCGTTGTGGAACACTACTCGGGAGAGTTTTCATGATATGGATAATTCCCCTTTGCCATCAGTTTCTGCAATTTCATCATGTTCAATTGCTAGGGTAGGACACATTGAGCATAGGTACAGTGTTGCATATATTAGTGATAATGCTTTTGGTGTATTTGAAGGTGTAAGTTTTATCTAGGTGCCTTCAGTTCAAGCATTTTGTGTGAATTTTACTTCGACCCTATTTGGTCAACTTTGAATTTCTCATTGGAATTTTGGGAACCTAGAATTAGGATTCATGTATTGCTTGTGGATATCGAACAAAGGTAGACGTTTTTCGTAAGGTGGAGAGTTTCTCATTGAAGAGTTCAGTTTATTTCGCTGCAGTTAGACTTATTTTTCCAGGTGAAGAAATTTTGGAGATTTGTTCGTTGTAGTGGAATTCGTGTCAAGCTGGAGATTGTTAGAATTTGGGTGTTACCCGAATTCCTTATTGAAATAATTGCAGAGTTTTTATTGAAGTGCACATCAAGAGAA